CCATTCGAATTGGCTAGGCTAATTAGCTAAACATCAACTCCTGCCATCTCACACTGAGAACAACCGGAAGTATGGGATTGAGCTGGATTTGATCTGATGTGAACATCGTACTAGATACTAATTTATGGATGTTAAGTAGAGGGATATTCAAAGGATTGATGTAAGCTAGCACAGACCGATGGAGGAGGAATAGTAGGACCATTCGGGAGAGCTAGCAGAGACCATTGAGGAGAGCTAGCAGAGACCATTGAGGAGAGCTAGCAGAGACCATTGAGGAGAGCTAGCAGAGACCATTGAGAGAGCTAGCAGAGACCATTGAGGAGAGCTAGCAGAGACCATTGAGGAGAGCTTAGCAGAGACCATTGAGGAGAGCTAGCAGAGACCATTGAGGAGAGCTAGCAGAGACCATTGAGGAGAGCTAGCAGAGACCATTGAGGAGAGCTAGCAAAGACCATTGAGGAAACGTGAAATCCATATATCCGACGCATCAAGTAAGCCATTTATTCGAGCGCAACACAGATTGGAAAAAGGGAATTCGACATCATTTGCAGTGGTTTAAGCGAGGCGAGACAAGTAGAATTCCGGTAGCGCGCCGTCAGGGCGGGGAGCACGGCTTCACGGCGGGGCGATCACACTCGAGGTTCTGCGTCTGAAAGGGGGTGATGTTCAACGGTTCTGATAACGCGAAAATTTCAGCAATTTCGCACCTCCTCGCCGCGGAGCAGGGTGGACAGCTTGAAGAGGAGGGAGCCGTTCGGCTTGAAGATCGTGTAGTTGACGGCTACCCAACCGGACGAGTCGGGCGACGAGACGTCGAGCTGAACAGGTTTTTGTGTTCTGCTTCGGAATCTCGTCTCCACCCACCGTGCCGGGCACCATCTGATTCTGGCCAATCTCATAGTGCAGCGCCATCTTCACCGGCTCGTTCTTGATAAACTCGCGGTCCTCGCGCCCCTGCTTGAAGACGATCTGCAGCTGCTTCTCGCTGTCGTGCTGCGGGAACGAGGTCGCATACTTCACCGACACCTTGGCCTAAAAACGCAAGTAACCACAGCTCGTACTCGCCCACCTTTCCACCCTTCATCGACAAGTCCGGATCAACATCAGCCTCGGAGGCCTCGGATCCCTCGGGCGAGCTGTTGAGCTCGATCTCCTGGCGGCAGACGCGCTCCGGCTTCGGCTTTTTCTGCCGCTTGCCCGTGTCAGATTTTGGGGGCTGGGGGCACTGGGGTGGCGGGAGGCGGAGGGCCTTGCACGGGCCGTAGTCCTCCGGGCCGCACGGTTCCGAGTTCTGGAGTGAGCATGAGCTTAGCCGGTTTTTAGGTGACAAACCAGGCACGAGTTGGTCTGGGCGCGGGTGGCGGGCTGGGGCTCGAGAAGGCTCTGCTGCTGCTCCCGTTCCGACTGAAAATCGGTACTGGACCATTAGCGGGGGGTCAGGATTAGCGGGAGACTAAGTTGTTTTGAAAAAAAAATAGATTTATAACATTTTTCCTTTTTGGTCCTTTTATAAATTTTAACGAGGATTTCGAAACTTCCTTTAATTGTCTATTTTCTTTTCGCATCCAAAAACGGTCGAATGCCTTAAATTTGTTAAAGGGCCGTCCGGGTACCGGGAAAAATTGCCGCCGCCCCCGCTAAGAGTCCAGAACCAAAAACCCTTCAAGAATTTTGAGGTACTGGCCTGTTCGCAGGGGGGCATTCAATTTGAATTCATTACCTCTGTAACGACAAATCCAGCCGAAGCCGAGAAGGCCGAAGCCGCGACGGTCGACTGACGGCTGGCCTGGTAGCCGATCGACTGGTGGGGAGGCTGATAGCTCCATTTCTCGAGCTTCTGCTGCTGCGGCTTCGACTGCTGCCGCTGCGAGGATGGCGCTGGATGCGAGGTGGCGGCGGCGACGGAGCTGACGCCGCAATTGCATCCGGAGCAGCATCCGCCCGCGCCCGGTTTCCCGTCCTTCGCCGGCTCGACGACGGACACCGTCTGCGTGCGGTACTTTCTGGAACATAAAAGTGTTTCATTTGAATTATAAAAAAGCTTTAAAATCGTGAGATGTCGGTAAGGGCACAGTTTACCCGCCCCAAGCCGGCTGGAATTTTTTGTATCTCGACTTCCCATGGACCAGTAGACGTGTAAAGTATACCAAAATGTTCAGCTAAGGATCCTGAGAATTTTGGTATACCTTACAGACCTGTAGCGTAACGGGCAGCCGAGAAACAAAAGTTTAGGGTCGACTGGGTGAGGGTTATCTGCAGTTTAAGCTAGCCCCGAAATCCCCCACAACATACCCATCCTGGTCGAGCTGCACGTTGGGCCCCTTCGGTAGGAAGCGCTTCTCGTTGATGAGCTCGTAGATCTGGGCGGCGGTGTAGAAGAGCTCGTTGACCGTCTCGTCGACGCGGACGATCGCCCGCTCGGCGCGTGGGTCCATTACTACGAAAGTAACTGCGCTTCATGGTCCTTTCGATTTTCATAGGTTTGAAGTTATTTAAATTTGCTCAATTTCTGGTTTGCTAATTTATTCAAGGAAATTGAATATTCAATTCTACTTTTCCGTCACCAGAATTCCAGAATTCGTATTGTCTCTGCGTGATGCGATAAACCAAAAATCAAAATATTTATTTGCATTGTTCCGGCGGCTTCAGTTCGTCTGGGCGCAGCGCTAAAAATGGTGCATTAGCGATTTCCAGACGTTCGACTACCTGCCAAAAGTTGGGGATTACGTAGGAGGCGTAGCCCTGGTTGAAGATTTTCCACGGACATCCAGACGCGTAGTGCGAGCACTCGTCCAGCGTGTACGTGATGGAGCGGTAATCCGTGTAGGGACCATCCGAAAATAGGACCTAAACTTGGTAGCTTGTAGCCAGCCTGATTCAGTGGAGGCTACGGACGTAACCACGCTGGTTAAGGATAACAGCAAATCTTAAAGTTGTATCCGAAAACTGCAACAAATAACGTTTTTGTGCTGACCTGAACGTAATACTGTCCACTCGTATCCTTCCACAGCTCGTGCACCAAATGCGACGCGTAGCCCGGGTTGTTCACCCCGAGAACACTGTACATATTGTGGTAGATGCGCAGCAGGGCGGTGATCGTCGAATCGTGCTGAAAACCAAGGATTCATATGCCCAATTGTGGACCCACAGCCGAGTAGACGTGGAATTTCCAGTGCGGCTTGTTGTTGACGGCATCCGTCATGCTGGACAGCATCTGGCCGAGCAGCTCTCCGCTCCGCAGCGCTAGCAGCTCCGTGTTCTCGTTGTTGCCGATCCCGGGCACGGCTAAATAAGTTTTTTAGCATATATTTTATTAAATAGGTATTAATTAATTAATTAATAGGTATTAAATAGGTATTAAATATAGGTTTTTCCGCCAGTATAAAAATTCTTACCGAGTTTTTGCAGCTCTTGAAAGCTTTTCCGCTTCAAATAAAAGTAATTTTTGCTTAAAAATTCGTTAAAACACTTAATATTAGACTACTGGGCATATCTGTACTCGCAGGAAAAATTCGGTTCCCCCCTCCCGCCCCCGGAACCCTAAAAACCCTCTAATCATCATAACATAAGCGCAAGAACCTATTTTGATAACCCTTTTTTTTCAACGCACCGCTCCCATCCAAATAATCGTCGGTGTAGATGAACATCTCGTTCAGCTTCGACCAAATCGAGTCGCTCAGCCACGGTGGCATCGTCATGTTGTGCGCGCGCTAAACTTTTGATGAAGAAGGCCTTTCTTAAGTAGCTACCTGACAATAGAGCGTGTCCCAAAGTTTATTGATGCTGTAGGCGTCATTGATCGGCATCCTGGCCCAGGTGGTCAGTTGATTCAGGAAATCCTGCTTTCCAGCATTAATTCTACAGCCAGTAATTATACCTGGTTTTTCAAAAGGTACTGCACATAACCAGTATCCTTCTCCCGACGTCCTCTGAGCAGGCCGATGCGTTTGCAATCGCTCGAGCCCTCCTCGTCGAGCTATGAAGTATCGGTGTTGTACTTTTGTTCTCGCCTACCGTGTCTTCCGGCCCGGGGACCGAGTGAATAGGGTACGGCATCCAGTTGACTGGCCAACCCTAAATTTCGTGTTGCCATCCTTCCTTTAATAAAAAACGTTATTATAGCTTGTCTTACATCAATCTGCGGATGCAGCGTGCTCCGCTGTAAAAGCGGCCAAATTCGACGCGGCCGACTGAATGCATCTGGGCGTATCTGCAGATCGAGCGTACAGCTGAAAATTTGAGCCAAAATTGAGGGAATTGCATTAGCAAACCTCTGTCGGATCATAGGTGGCATTGATAAACTTCAAAGTATCAATGTACCGCTTCTTCAGCCGTTGCCCTTGCAAAATTGCTGTTGCATCCCAGTCTAAATAGATGTTGATGCTTTGTGTAGAAAAAACCGTGGTCAGCGTTCCACCCGGAAGCCCCCATTTATCCACGTTGGGGTCGCCTTTATAGGTGTAAATCGGCGTTCGGTCTCCATGCCGGTATAACTAAACATTTTGCTGGAAATAATGGGTTTTTTGAATACCAAATTGACTTGGATAAGCTCGTCGGCAAGCCCGACCGCCAAAAAGGCCCATTAGCACGAGGAGCAGCCCCATACCAGGCCGCAGAAGCAATGACCGGGAAGCCGTCGGGTTTTCTTATCTCCGAAGGCGATTCCGGCATCACCAGTCTCTGCGTTCTGGTCGGCAGCAAAACCAGGCTTACTTCAGGTGGCAAAGAAGAGAATTCGTTTCATCATCCCCATCCAAAACGCTTTACAAAAACGGGGGAAAATAATGAAGCGAGCGTGAAACAGTAGAAAAAGTATTTCTAATAAAGGAATTTTTAAAATTTTAAAATTTTTAATTATTTCACAAAAATCAATATTTAGGCTTTTCCGCCACGCACCGCTGTACGCCGGGTCCCGCAGCGTCGGCATCGCCCCGCGGAGCGAAACGTTCTCTCTTCTGGTTTTTCAGCAAAACCTGCATCCGACCATCCATCCTACCAGCATGCAGTCGAGCGACCGTTTTGACGTGAACAAGACACTCGACGAGATAACTGCCGGGAACAGGGCTTTGAAGTATGTCATCTTTCTTGTTCCCAGCCCTTTGCCAAATTTTACCATTTCCCTATGTAACTTGTTTTTAGGCGTCAACGCTCGGGCGGCCGTAGCAGTCGTGGTGGCATCGAGGGCCGTTCAGAGCACGACATGTACCACAGTCCTGGAACGAGTGCTTCTTCTTCGAAAACACGTTAGGATTTTGACGATCACTAGAAATTGCTTTTTAGGCGGCTCTGCCCGGAAGCTACAAAGGTCGCCAACCAAATCAGGACGTGAACGCGCACGTGTCCTACTACACAACCTGTCGCGCTTTGTGACCCAAGACGACTTGGAGGGAGCTCATCTCTCCCTATAATGGCAGTGCGGCCACCGTTCATTATGATCAGAATGGGACCCCGCTCGGAACGGCTGAGGTTTGCCACGGTTTCTTCCTACAATTCCTAATGTAGTTTCACGCTAGTGCTGCAAAGGCCAACGAGTTCAGCGCGAAATACAAGAATACGGCTATTGATGGCAAGCCGATCCAGATAACAGTGGTGATCGTGTTTTTGTTGCTAATCCGCATACAGGTCCCGACGTCGCACACCTCCGGAACTATTCATGATCGAGTCAAGTTCGGATACCTACATTGGCTTCGAATTTGCTTTAGACTGCCACATAAAGCTATCGGCGGCAAACTGCGTCGTTCCGTTACCGGGCGCATCAAGAAGCACTCCGCTTCACGTACGAATCGTTTCATGGATGAACATGATCACAGGGTTTGACTTACTCTGCAGCTTTCATTTGTGTTTAGGAAACGTCACCGGAGCAAGCCAGTCCGAAGAAGCGGCGCAACGATGGTCGCGGTCCCAAGAAGCTGTCCCAAGAAGAACTTGACCGCCAGCTCGATGAGTATATGAAGGCCTCCTCAATGAAAATGGAATAGAAGCCAAGCTGTTTCTCCACACGTATTTGTTACTTTACAGAACACCGACATCTTACTCTAACCACGTTTTGTTTACAATTTTTGAATAAATGTTTGGCGTCTATCTAATCTGGTCACACGAAATGAACCAACGTTGTGGGCGGTGCAGTGATACCTATCTGGGATACCACATCTCTTGTTGTTTCCTCCGGCGTCCTTGAGCGGCAGGCAGACCCATTGCACACTCAGCGCTGTATGAATGCTTGCCGGGGTAATTGCCTCCGAGGGGGATCCTCACGTCCCCTATTGAACATCGACACCTATTCACACATTCCCCGGTAGGAGCCTTATTAGTTTCTAGCCTATCGAAATCTTGTGCAAACCTTTTGCAGCTCTGACGACTGTTTTCAACCGCTCTTGCTCAATTGGTGGCTGGGATGGGCTCGCGCGAATGACCTACCCGTCACCACTCAACTCTGGAAACGTTATCGCCCGACGCGATCGAGCTCCATTTACGCCCCGGGAACCAATTACTCAGGTGTGCCCCAAAATGGTGGTGACAGTGCGGTGGCCCCTTGAAAAATGGGCGACCGGTTGGAGCGGGGTGACTGGCAGGGAAGGCGGGGCAGCCCCAGGCTTGATTGATGATGAATCGACCCATTGCGCGATTTTTGCACCAAGACATCCGGCTAATCCTGTTAGGGTCGTGAACCTACCTTTTTGTCCTCCCTATTACTCATGGCGCAACCAACTTCCTTGCCTTTGCCTTAGCGGGGGATGCTGGAACTAAAACTCTTGTTAATTAGCCTCGTGTTCTTCCTAGGGACAACCGGCTTAACCCAGTCAATCTCTGCGACAAGCCGTGAGGCCCTCTTATAGCGGTTGTAATAGGTACCTGGCCATCCATCTTTCTAGCACGTTTCACGCTTCGATGCCTGTTCACACGGCTGGAAGCGATTCGTTCAAGAACTAACATTGCGAAAAGCGCCTGTCCAAATTGTATCTTCTCACTCGCCACTTTGCTGTGACGAGGCTAATTACTCGATTTCATGCGGCTCGCGTGTCCTGGCTCCGAGCTTCAAACGCACAACTGGGCTTCTCTGTCCGCTTAAATCAATAGGGCGTGAACAATGCTCGTCGGCCGTCGCTGCTAGGCTGTTTGGTCCTGGTTGATATTTGCGTGCAGGTTTATACTTTTCGTCACCACAAGGCCTTGTACAAACCGAACTTTCGCTGTCCGTACTGCCTTTGCTAAAACGTCCCCCAAACCTTCAATCGAAATTCTATTGTTTTTTAGCTTGCTACTTTAGCCTGTTGATCGATTTCGTCAGCTTCAATGATTCATCGTGCTCCCGAAAAGGCCGAGCCACCGTTAGGTGGGTTGATATTTTGGCAATATGACTCATAGGTCCGTCCTCCATTCTTCCCGACGCTCTTCATATTTAGTTTGGAGAAGAATTGAAGCACACTGCTCTTGCTCTTTGCTGCGCAGGCCCTGGTCTCAGGTTGCATTCGGCGGGATTCATTGGGGGTTGGGTACTTGAGAGGCGCCGCGACTGACACCACTCGATACAGTTCATCGATGCGGTCATTTCGTGCTCGGCCTTTCATTAACTTAGTTTTTCTAGTTCCCATCCGAAAGGGCACGTGGAGAACGAAAGCTACATGTGTTTGGCAATTATTGACGACCTCCAGCTGGCAAAGTAGCGCTGTTCCGGCCCTGCCCCGTTACTCTCACTGACCGTCCCTAACGCCCTAATGCATCGGAAATGCGCAGCGGCCTGGTTTCGAGGTCTCTTGTGTTGGATCCGGTCGGCTAATCCAACCGATATTTCATCACGAACGACTAACCATTTTCTTTAGCGCCCGTGCTGGTGTACGCCTTCATGATTTATGCGCTGTCCTCGGGGGGCCCCTCTTCGTTCTTGGCATGAAAGGGGGCCCTCGCATGTCGTGGCCGGCTGGGCCGGATATTGAATTCCATCAGGCCCTCCTCCCCGGGGACAGCCCTGAAGAAAGTGATTGCAGGGAGCCGCTTGACTGGATGCATTTCTTTGTCGGGGTCAGTTAGTTGTTGCCAAATCACTACCCTGTACTAATCGATCGCTGTTTGCGGAATCGGTATATTGATCAATGCTACTCTGAGCCGGCGAAGGGGCTCGACCCTCAGCTATAAATTGAAGTCATCCTAGTTAAAGAGGGTTCGATTCGATTTCTGTCCTCATTTTTGCCATTTTCTTACCGATAAAACTGATTGGAACGTTGCGTGACTAATAGCCACTACCGGCGGTTTTTATGGAAGCCCTACCAGCTGGTCTGGCGCAGATGCCTCTTCGGGAAGGTCGCTTCGTAACGATCCTCGCGGATGGATGCACATCTTTAGTAAAAAGCCCCATACACGTTCCCTTTATGATCCCTTGTTGCACCCTAGCGACCGTTTCGCGCATCGCCATTGATTCACCTTGAGAAACCTTTTCTTGATTGATGTTTTCTGATTCTCGTTTTTCTGGTTTACAGATTTTACCCCATTTTTTAGAGACGACGATGTCTAGAAAATCGAGCGAAAGCAGCGAAGGAGACCCAAGCGCCCGTGCCGTCACAGTGTCAATTTTAAAGGATACTGGCACAAAGGTTGGTGATTCTGAAATTTCGTCAATAAGGTCACTTCTACGCGTTCTGAACTCCGGTTCTGCAACTGTGTTTTTAGGTCCAATTGATGCTCAAAGCCCAAGGGATTGAAACGGCGCAAGAGCTTTTTTGGCGACATCATCAAGATATTCAAGAAGGTGCGGATTTTTTCCTTTAAAAAATGCTATTTGAATTCTAGCCGTCGTCTCCCTCTCGTTGTTGAGTAATGGAAAATTCACCAAATTTGATCCGAAGGACTATGGCCTCAACTTCGTTCTCGAGGTATTGCTATTTTCAAGGTTTCAACTTCTTTTGAAAGGTTCTTCTTGAAAGTTTCAACGCTCCTTGATTCAGGTGGAAACTATGAAGCGAAGAAGAAGGGGAACGCGAACCGCACGGAAACTTTTGTATGTGAAGTCAAGCAATTCCCCACGCAGATCAACCCAGATAGCGCCGAATTCGAGGTTTGGCAACTTGATTATTGACGAAACTTGTCGTTCTTTCAGATATTGGAACCGGCTTCTGAGAATGCTTCATTTTGATGACGTTGATCAAAACGAGCGACTTGAATGTTAGCTGGAAGGAATTCCTCGATAGCAATGGTACCATAGATGTTACTCAAATCTAGGTGAGCCACATTTTCTAAATTTTATCGCCTTTTTAGAGTAACGTAACGAATTACACTACCGGCTCTCGGGTAACGCGCTGACGCAAATGTGATCCTCATCCCTGTTTCTATTGTCTCTTATTTTCCCCAGTACCTCTTTCTCGCTCAATCTTAAATTTTTGCTATTTATCGTCGCACACCTCCTGTGTGGCGCTGCTATTTTTCTGTGTAACCGGAGGAGCCGTCTCTTTCTCATGGCCCGTTCGCAAAAGTATCCCCGGCCTCGGCTTTAAATTGGCGTTTCCGAAAAATTGTGGGCTCTGCTGGGCGCACATCATCCCCGCGGGTTCTGACTCTAACCGCCCTCCCAGGTTCTTTTCATGCCAGCTGGCCCTCCACCCTCCTACCAGCCGACTCTTTTCCTCCACTCTCGTTCCCTGCGTCTCGTTGTTGGTTGGCTAGCCTCACCGGCCGGGGAGACCGATTGGCTGGGGCCAAAAGCAGAAAGAAAACATAACACGCCATTTCCTCCCCACTTGTCCTTCACCCTGTAGACGGTCTTCTTGTCTTGTTATGTGTCTCTCTCACACCAAAATTTTCGCCTTCTCTCCTCTCCATCCCCCTTCGAATGCATAGCTCCACTATTTTCTCGCGATGTTGTTTCTTGGTTTTGTCGCTAATAAATAGCTCGCCATTGCCTTTGTCGTGCCGCGCCAAATGGTTATAGGGTCTGACGCTATTTTCGTGCGGGTTTAATGCCTTTGAAAAGATTTGTCGGCGAGATTTGCGGGGAGAAGGTGCCAGTGATCGGAAACGAGTTTGGGCGATTGATCGAGGGTGGGGCCGACCCTTCGGCAACGCTACTTGGACTGGCGCTGATCTGTTTTTCCGGGAGGCTGAACTTTGTTTATGCGGTCCGCGCCGTGAGACGATGCCCTTTTCGACATAGACCGGGAATCAAATGCTGTAGAAGCTCTAGGATTTACCGACCCGTCACGGGGCTCGAGACGAGACTCCCCTTATCGGCTGGATTTTATGGCGCATCTTTGACCTTTCTTTGATGGCTGTCTGACTGAAACCTTTTCGTTCTACGTTTTACGTTAGGTATCCCAATTAATTGCTGATTTTAGTAATGCGCACTGTGCTTCTATAAGAAGGGATGAACAGTCGCTGCGCACTCCGCCTTTTGCGGACATCACGGCTTCTTACAGCGGTCCCAACATGCTCCAAGAGCACTCGGCCTATCCCCTCGGAGGCATGAGATTTTTCATTTGAAAATATTACTTTTTAGGGAAAGCCTTTTGGCCTTGTACTTGATATTGATGGCGTGCTGCTGCGCGGACGCGATGTCCTTCCTCGGGTACCAGACGCCTTCCGATTGCTCACCGATGCTAACGGCTCTTTCAAATTCCCACGGTAGGTTTTTGCTTCCGGATTGGTGAACATTTTCTTAGGTTTTCCCTCACGAACGGTTCAAATTCACTACGGGCAGCCAAGGCGCAACGTCTTCACAGAACTTAGGAATAGAGGTACGAGTTTTTCCATGATCCAGAAAAATATATGTTTTTAGATTCGGCCGCAACAAGTAGTTATGGCGCACAGCCCGCTTAGGATGTTTACGCAATTCCATGACAAGCACGTGCTCGTCGTCGGCCAGGGGCCTGTAAATACCATAGCTCAAAAGTCGGTGTTTCAGCTTTAGCTTAAAAATTGGTTTCTAGCCTTGGGTTCAACAATGTGATAACCCTCGACGACCTGCGCGGTTTATTCCCCCACCTCGACTGCGTGGACTTCTCGAGGCGACGATTCGACGAGTTGAACTGGTCGCCACCAAAAAATTTCGCCCCAATCGATGGTTGGTTTTATGGTTTAAAATGTTTTGAGCCGGGCTAGGCACTTTTTTTAGCTTTTTACGCATTTTTTGTTTTAGCTATCGTCCTTTTGGGCGAACCGTTGCACTGGGAATCGGCGTTACAATTCCTATTGGATGTGCTGATCACGGACGGTGATCCAGGTAATTTCCAGCTTTCTATGCAGTTTAAAGTATATTCCAGCCGGCCTCAAATACAAGCGTGGCAACGTCACCCATTCGAATCTTCCGCTTCTTGCGTGTAACGTCGACATGGTGTGGATGGCCGAGAAGGGCGTCAATTTGCCAAGGTTAATCAGTTTGCTTTTAGTTTTTGAACACACGTTTAGAATTGGTCACGGCAGCTTTTTGACGTGCCTGGAGGCGATGTACTCAAGATTAATGGGGAGGGACTTGAAATATACGGTATTTGATGAATACCGGTGGCTAGTACAACTAATTTCGTTCAGGCAGTCCTCGGCAAGCCAGCAGAAGTTTCCTACCTGCACGCCACGCATTGCCTTCAAGATATGGCTTTTGACATGAAGCGCCCGGCACCGAAGACCATCTACGTTATTGGGTTTGTTTTCACGACTCTGTTAGATCTCGATTTTTAGTGACAACCCGCTGTCGGACATCCTCGGCGCCAACCTGTACAACCGCTACCTTCAGCACGGCGGCCGAGCACGGTGAGCTGTTGATCACTGAAAACACATATTGAGACATGTGCTACGTGGGCACCTAATTACGCAGGGTGACCAGCAAGGGGTCGTCGTCTTCGGGTGATATTGGATTTTTGCGGGTGACTCCAATCGATATAGCTTGAAATTTTGAGCAGCTCCTGTTTAAAAAAAATTGCTGAACGCTAGCGATCTGCCAAAAAACGTTCGCGGACTTTACATATTGCCATTTGTTAAAACCGTAATTTAGCAATTTTTGAAAGTTGTGACTTGTCCGGAATTTCAAGCTCTATCGGATGAGCTGCTGTACAGGGCGCAAGGCCATTATCAGCTTAAAACGACTAATGTAGGAAGAGACACACACACAAAGGTAAATAGGCGGCCACGTAGCACGTGCGTGACGTGCGCCTTAACCCCGTAAGCCCCCGCATGCTCCTTGCATGAACGGCCACTGGCTGTGCGTAGGTTTCACGGGGTGATTAGCCTTTTCTTTTTAATTTTGTGAGACGTTGGGTGAGTCGTAGTAATAAGTTGGCCCCGCGGTTTGTAACCCTGAACATCAGACCACCAGCACCGATCCCGATTCGACCGCTGTCGGCTGTGTCGTCGGTGGCCGAGGTGTACCACGCGCCACCGGCTGAGGATTCGAGTCCCGGGCCCGCCGGGGCTCATCATCCGCCGGCCAGTCTTCGGCCCCGTTGGCTGGGGCGAATCCGCAGTATTCGTCGATGAGAGGGTTGGCCGGGATGGCAGTCCCACATCTCAGGTAGAGCGCCCGGTTGCTTATTGTGCTGTCCTGTCGCTTTTTTGTGGAAGTGAGCCGATTTGGCGGCTTTGATGTTGTGCGTCCGTCGTGGTCTATCCTTAGTTTGAGATCTAATCGTTTTCATGGTCCTAGGTATTATTTTTATCCTGGCTATCTAACTACTCGATCCAACTATTGCTCGATGTCGAAGGGCTGACGGAACAGTCTGGAAGTGAACCCTTCTGATGGGCTCATCCGCATTTTCAACTTCAGAAGTCTCCGATTACTTACCTGTAAATTTTGTAAAACGGATTTTTCACCGTTTTGTTCGACATCACTAACGTGCTCGCTGCATGTCCCGGTCGATTTGCTAACTGTATGAACTTCGTGTGCGATCAGTTCTAAAAAGTCCCTTGTTTTGGCCTCCTAATCTAACGTTTTTTGTGGCACTGCCTCGTTATCCCTCCTTTTTCAGATTCGACCACATCGAGCTCGCCAGCTGGAGGAGCAGTCGCCGGACGACAAGCCTGTCGAGCATCGCGTCCGCGAGAATATCGAGCGGTGTCTGAGCGTGCTAGTTGGTGCGTTGCTTTTCCGGTTACGTTATAAACCCCACTCTTTTAGAAACCGGCGTCTACCTGAGGGCTGCAAGATCAACGGAACCGTCCTGCCAATCAGCAAGCTCGTCCAAGAATTGACCGATCAGGGAGCGAACCGAGCTCGAGGTAAATTTGAAGTTTTTTAGTTGTTTCAATGTCTGGTGCTTCTCGTTTGACGGGGGTGATTAGTTAAAAATTATAAAAATAATATAGGCATTTATAAAACGTGATTTTTTTATTTTCGATCGGGAAAAGCTAGATTTTTTACCATCTTTATGATATTTTTATAATTAAAGAGGGTGCACAATTTTAATAAAAATACATAGAAGAACCTTACTTCATCCATCTTCTAGATGCCCGGCTTCGTCGAGCCCGATCTCTTCGCCGCCGTCGAGATGATCCTCCAGCGCGAGCAGTGGAAGCGCCCTTAATTCCCCGCCAATCGTGTTTTTGCAAATTGTTTAGAATTGTGCACTTGGCTTTGCTTTACTTGCTACTTCTATCGGTGACCGCTATCTTCTGTGTCTTTTCCCTGGAATTATACACACACTCGGGCTTAAAGAAACATCGGTGATTAATAAATGTTAGAAATTTGAATTCAAAACTTGGAATCCGCACACATTTCATCGCCACACCCCGGCCATTCTCATTTGCTACTCGCTTGTTAATTGGTATCGGCGGCTTTATTGAGGAGAAACTGTGGGTGATGTTTGAATTCTTGAGCTTGTTGAATTCGTTCTAGAAAATGGCGATCCAGTCTTACGTAAAAACCTACAAGAACGTGGCGTTGATCAAGTCGCATCGTGTGATCGGGCGAGCGTTCAAGAATCAGCGGTGAGGAGGAGCCATTTAGAATTTGGAACCCGAAAATCCAGGCTTGCCCTGCTCGTGAACACGTGCGGCAGCATCTGCACGCTCGGCGGCGGCGACATCCTGCAGCAGTTGATGCACAAGGAGTGGGTGCCCGGCGACCCGACGAAGCCGTGGGGACCGGATGCGCACGGCGCGCATGGCATCGATTGGGCTGCTGCAGGGGCCGATGCTCTACTATCTGTACCGCTGGATGGACTTTAACGTGAAATATCGGCTGGTTAGATAGTGCTAGTTTTCTTAAACAGCTCTTAAAGCTTTTCCTGGCCGTTTTGCCTTCGTTTTGCTGCAAGTACTCTTGGAGCTGCTCCTGAAAAACAGGACGTTTTCTAGAGGTGGTCGCCTTTCGATCGTGCTGCAGAAGGTGTTCCTCGACACGGCCACCGCGCCCATGTTTTCCGGGACGACGATCATTGGGGTAATTATAGTGTCTAACTCATAATAAGTAAAAACGAACTTTCAAAACGTTGCACTGACGTATTTCCCTTTCACTGCCTTTCAGAGCGCGCACGGGAGGGGTGGTCGGGGCGTGGTGTAGTGGTCTAAGGCGCCGGCCCAGTCCCGAGACAGGGGGTGCGGGTTCGGTTCCTGGGCCCGCTGTTCTTTTCATTTTCGTTTTGCTTTTTCGTCTCAAATGTTGCTAATGGAGTGCCGTAACGCAAGAGAAGTCAGAAACGAGCTTTCACATTCTTTCCGGGCCAATAGACCGATAAAAGTTAGACGGCGCCTTTACCATCTTCAAATGGTCAGTTGCCTAAATCGTCACGCTATAATTTTCTAAAATTCGTTGCAAAAGATAGAGTAAAGGCTGCTCTGTGTTCCCAGGGCTCAAGCAGATTTAAAAACCGTCATCATAAACCAGTTGGAAATTTGGGCGAACTTTCTGTTGAAACGGTAAACTAAATGCCGGGAACACTCAATTTTGCATCTAATTGGATAGTTGGTAGCAGAAGGTTCACAGAGAATTCAAAAAATCTATCTGGGCAACTATTTTTATTGTTCTAGAAGGCAATTTGTTGAAGCCGCCGGATTGCTGTGGAGGATCCCAGCCTAAGTCGGCTCAAAAGATAGAGCGAAGTCTGTTTTATTTTTCCTCCACGCAAGTAGATTAAGATTTGCACATTGGAAAAACTTATAGCCTTTCGAAAGGCAGCTCTTTCCGACTTTCTATGCTTTCCCAATGCGTTACGCGGTGCATTGGCGCGCTGCGTAGCCCAGCCCCGTCCCCCCCTCTCGTGCGCGTTTTTATTAAAGCCTGAATGGCAGTGCTTTAGACAGCCCTGCTGGAGGGGAAAACGCTACGCTCGGCGGTGAAGGAGTACTGCACCAAGTACCCGCAAATCTTCATCCTCGACCTGTGCACCTGGCCCCCGTTCCAGTTCATCAACTTTTGGTGGGTGTTTATCAGGCAGCAACTAGCATTTTTGCTAAGTACAGCGTAAAATAACAAACATTGAATGAATAATACATCGTAATTAGCAATGTAACGTATCAGAGGTTTTTTTACAACCAAATTAGTGGTCTAGAATACAAATAATGCCCCAACCGCATGGCATTTGCTAATTGGATGATAAAGTTAAGATCTTTAATCTGGCGTAATTCGTATATAATTTTTTTACCAGATTGTTCCAGGTAAAGAGCCAATTTCAGGTTCTTGCCGAACCAGTGGCGTGTGCTGTACACGAACGTCATCCAGGTGCGGGTCACTTAAAGTTGGCTGGAAACGATTTGAAAATTATGATTTTTAAGGATTTTCCTGCTAGAAACCATCGATCCTTTCCTTTTTTCAGTTATGCTACAACACGGTCATGTCGTACATCAAGCACCACGACGAGAAGCTCTTCAAATTTATCTGATCCTCGTTTTTGTGTGCGCGCCGATCGGCAGAATAAATTCATTTAGTTTTGTTCATGGTTTTTCGATCGTTTTTATGCTTTATTACGATGGCACCATTTATTAAATTATTGACGCGTTGCCTAGCCTCTTGTATCGGCTCCCTAGTTGGGTGGCAGGAATGGGGCGAGGTTGATCGGCTTCCAGGTTTGTGCAGGGCTCGGAGGCGGAGCTGAAAAATTGAGAAAAATGAAGCTCCCATTTTTCGTTTTGGCCTTTAAATATGAGAATTCGGAAAAGCCCTTACTTATAGACAAAGATATCCTTGGGGATCGTGGTGGTGTGGGGATCCCGCGCAGAAGATGTACCGCATGTCGTAGGCGCGCACGGCGGCGAGTTCGTCTAAAAACCGTGAGCTTAGCTTCGGAATATAAATAGAGGAACTGTTTCTAACTGTTTTTTACTATTCCTAAGCGTAAAAACTTTACAAATTGTTAGCGAAAAACATCAAAAATATCGATTCGTCGAGCAAAATGCCCGATTTTTTACCAAGATTTTGCCTAAAATTGTTCTAGAGGTTTTTTTATTGTTTTCGCACTTCAAATATCATTACATTTTGCTAATACTTATAAAAATAGGTTACTAGGCATTTGGGAGTACAGGAAAAAGCTATGAGCCGGCTTTTGCGCGTATGCTGTCTGCAGTGGAGTTTAAAAAAAAAATAGAGCTCTCAAAATATCAAAATAAATTGTTATAAACGATTACCCACCAGCTGTCAGCCCGCGGCTGTTCGGCACCTGGTTCTCATAGTAGAAGCGGTCGCCCTTCTTCAGGTTCTGGAACTGCAGCCCGATGATGTAGCCGGCGGTGGGGCCAAGCTGGAAATTTTCAACTTAATTTTTAGAGCTAAATGTTTTCTTATAGTGATGAATCAACGTCTGGATCTCATTCTCAAAAGCACCTACCAGAGCTCCCGAAAGCGGCGTCTCCATCACGAGCCCCGCGTACAAATCGACGTCTCCGGGGTTGGCGTACGCCGTCTTCAGCAGGTTGATCTAAATATTGGGTTTATTCGCGGTTTAGAGGGAAAATTGAAGTGAGCAATTTTTCCGAAAATGACACCCACCTTGGCGGTGGTCATGGCGTCGGCGAAATCGTCGAAGGTGGTGGCCTTCTTGAGGCCGGCGAGCGCGCGGTACTGGTTGTACGGGCCGACGCCGAAGTCGCGAGCTCGCTGGATGTTCGTCGCCGGAAGGTCGATGCCGGAGCCCTGGAAAAGGGGGGGATAAACATAGATCAATATAAAACTGGTAACCTGATAGTTCTGGTTTCTTAGCGGGGGGCAGCAAAATCCCATTGTTAACATTTTTCTGTCGGGATTTTGGCCCTCGGTATTTTGGCTGTCGGCATTTAGGCGTTTTCCCGATAACCGCTATTCACTCACCGACTTGTTGCGGATCTCGAACACGCGGTTCCGAATGTCGAACGAGAACTGGTTGTCGACGGCCATCTGCTGGGAGTACATCAGGCCTAGAGAGACAGTGGTCAACCTTTAAACCTTCTTTCAACTTACCATGTCCAATCGACTCGTACTGCTGGGCGGTCTTGTTGTAGATGGGGTCCTGGTAGAAGATGTTCTCGCCGAGCATCACCGGCGTGCCGACCGTCACGTTCGTGTTGGACACGCGGGCAAAGTCCTGGAATCGGGGCGATATTTCCCGTCAAGCTCCAACTTACACTCCTCGCCTCCGAGTGGCCAAAGCGGAAGGCGTTCGTGCCGAACTCGGCCATCACGGACGGGTCGACGTTGATGTCATATCCGGTGAAGAAGCCGCTGGTCAGCGGGTTCAAGCCGTACTGAAAAATTGGGAGTTGAGCATGAAAGTAGGGGCTCATACCTTGGTCATCAGCGTGGTGCCGAGGATCTTGGGGAGGTAGAATTTGTAGACGAACTGCTGGTAGACGGCGATGATGATGCGGCGTGTTTCCTGGAAGATGCGCTCATCGGGCCAGGCCGGGCGGGCGGCAGTGATGTTGGCGGCGATCTGAAAATGTAGCTGTCAAGAGGTGTTTTTCGTACTATAGTTGGCGCTAGACACTGCTCGTTCTCACTCTCTCTCGCTCTCTCTCGCTCTCTCTCTCTACGACAATACTACGGTACTCACCCGGTTGTGCTCCTGGATGAAGTACATGTGGGTGGGGTAGAGGCCGGGGTGCAGCGACGTCCTCAAGTCGCCGGACAACGTGCACGGGTAGGTGGGCTGCGAGTGGCAGTTCGGGTCCTGCAACGACAAACTTGGTTTCATTTCTCAAACCCCAAACTGACCGCCGGATCGGTGGGGACCATCGTGTAGCCGTTGGTGTTCTGCGTCTTCAGCTGCCCCTTGGCGAACGTGCGCAGCTTGTTGTGGTCGCACATGTTGCTCCCGTAGACGATGGACAGGTCGAGGAAGTGGGTGTTCTACAGCTGGTTGATGGGGGAATGTTATTAGCGAAAACCTGGTTGATTTGGATGCGGGGGCCGACTTTGGTTTGGCCGTTGAGGGCACGGGTGAACTTGAAGCAGGCCGTTTTGAAGTAGGGGTCGCCTGAAAAAGAGTATTACTGATCGCTCTATCACTCTTTCACATTCTCGCTCTCTCTTTCTCCCTATCTCTCTCGCTCTCTCGCTCTCTCGCTCTCTCTCGCTCTCTTTCTCTCTTCTCACCTCGTCCCTTTCTCACACATGTTTTCTCTCTTTTGTGCTCTCTGGATATCTCACTCTCTCTCACTCTCGCTCTCTCTCGCTATCTCTCTCTCTTTCTCTCTCTCCCACCTGTCGGAACATCAACCTGGCGGCGCAATTCTTGTCCCTCATGTTCACATCGCAGATCGAGCAGTCCAGCGACGAACCATTAGTGCCTAAATTTAATGGTGAGTACAGTAACCGTACAGTACACTACGCTACTGTACGCTACAGTACGCTATTCTATCCAGCCCCTCAAAACCAACCTGTCGATCCAGGCGTCAGCACGACGTCGTGGGCGATAATTTGGCCGACTGCATGAGCATGTGCGAGTGGCCGGCCGTGTCCACGGGGTACAGATCGGTCTAAATTTTGCGGATTGTGAGCACGATTTTTAGACAGCTTTCAAAGGGCCAAGGGACAATTTTGGACTTTTGCCGGGCGGCTGATTGGTAGGTATCGGGCCTAACAATCCATAGATCGATGGTTCGATCCCTGGCTGCGCAAAATTTTTTGTTTTTCGAATTTTAATGCTTTTTTTAACGGATGAACACCCACCTGCTGGAAGATCTTGTTGGAGATGACGCGAGCTTAGGGGAGAGCCTGGCCGGCGACCACGGATTTAGCGCGGATGGCGCCAATTTCTGAAAACGGTTTTAAAGGACCGTAGAAGTCAAAATTTATAGTAACCCTAGTCAGTTGATAGTAAGTATTTCAGTTGTGTTTTTAGTAAAAGTAAGTTATATTTACAAGGGGAATACGAAAACTTAGACTTTTGGTCGAAAATCGCAATTTTTTTGTATTTGTTAGTAAAAATCATTCTATTCATGTTACTAAAATTGTATGCTTCGAGACAATTTAGTCCCCCCGTTGGATGCCACATAGAGCCTACCATCATCATACAACCGCCTTGGCGAGCTTGGCGAACGGGTTCGAGCGCGAGGCGCCATTCTTCGCGAACCGCAGGGTTATTGCAGTCGCCGGTGATGCGGCGGTACGGCTCGCCAAAAGATTGACACAATAGGGCACACGGAAAAGAAGTTAGGAAATTTTTTCGGAGTAGTATCGAATAGCCAAACCACGATTCTAGACGCAGAATTTTATTATCCGAGAAAACTCGGGCTTTCCCGCTCACTTTGGCTGGCAGGGGGTGTTCTGGCGGCAGGCCGAGTCGGAGCCGGTTGGTCCACCAAAATTGTGTTTTCTTTTTGCTGTCACCATCCCTTGAAAATACCTGCGCTTGCGCTGCAGGCGTGAGAGGTTTTTACAACAAAAGATTAAATTTTAATTTTTAAGGTCTAGCCCAAAATTGATATATTTTTTTGTCGAAACGTTTTCAAAATTTCAAAAATATCCAAAAACGATTTTCCCTTAATCCATTAATTACGGGTTACTTTCAAATTCTCAAGATATGGAACGCTCGGAGGTCTTGAGACGCTTCGAAATTTACACAAGCAAATTTTCGGAAAACCGCCAATACTTATGCAAAAGTGTCGGGATTCCGAAAGTTTGACACCGAAATTTCGACATTATGATTTTCGACATTCCGAATTTCCGCATTCCTGAAATTTCGACAGTATGATAGCAAATCGAAAAGACTCACATAACATAGTCAGTTTTCGATCGGACCGTCGAGCCCCGAACTGCAGGCGAAGATCGCCTGGGTGTCGAGGTTCGCGTCCGGAATGGAGGTCAGAATCTAAAAAGCCAAATTTTTCGGCAGGGACTGTTTGTTGTCACAAAATCTATAAGGACTGTTTTCCGTCACAAAATCACAGCTCGGTGATTAACTTAGGCTTAAATATATCCGGTTTCGTAGCGAAGACTTTCGAAAACCCAGAAAATTTCGGGAACTCACATCGGGTCCGCACTGGGCGACGAGGAGCTCGGTCGCGCACCATCGTGCGTCGCCTTTGGGTTTGCTTGGCCTGCGCGTCCGGGTCGGCTTTCTGTGGCGGCGACGACATCGCTCTAGAAGTTCACTTCTAAACATCTGGTTCATCAAAAATTTTCGAATTTTATTGGACCCGATTATGGTATTAAATTGCGGACCTGATGCTTCAAGTCATCGAAAAATAGGACCGATTACGGCATGGATATCCCGGATTGCGAGCTCCTTTAACGACAATAACCTACTGGTAATCAACTGATTTTGCCCAGCAAGGATAATTCGCCGAACGCCTCTTCATGGCGGCGGTGACGGCTGTCTGGAGGTCCGAGCATGACTTCGCCGTCGTTCAAAGCGCGTTGAAAAAAGAAATTATATGAAAAGCCAGAGGTTATTTCTTTCTCTGTTTCTCTCTTTCTCTCTCTCAATCTCGTTTTCATCCTCTCTCTCTCTCTCTGGTTGCTCTTTCATATTCCTGCTCGGCAGGCAAGCAGAGATTCTTTTGAGAGTCCTTTGCAGTGACAGGTTAGCAGAATTCCCTTTAGAAAAATTTAGTATCTAGTGGTGGCTAGCAGCGATTCTTTGAAAATTTAGACCGAAAAGGAAACAGCGGAGATTAATGAGGAGGTAATGGTACTCTGAGGTACGGTAATAAAAACCGAACCTGACGGCGACGAGGGCCCAGCAGAAGAGATGGACGGGATGCATGGCGAGACCCCGGAGAAAGAGTATCCTCCCCAGCCCACAGTCCACTTTTATACTATCCCCTGCTGCCACACACCCGTCATTTCGACCGCCCGCCCGGCCAAAACCGTTTTCCGGCCGCTACAACTTCCACACCGGCCGGCTGAGCAAATTCGGGCAGGTCGACTCGTGGTGGCGGGGCCCAAGATATGTCAGTGGGGTCGGATGGGGTGGGTGGCACTGGCCAACTTTTGCAGGAGGATGAAATGGTCCGACTAAGAGAGTCTGATCTAGCGTAGGCTTAGGCCGGGCTTGGGCTTAGCGGCCGGGCTTGGGCTTAGTTTCGGTCGGGTCTAGACTTTGACTGCTTCGGCTTAGTCTAAGCTAGGGATTGCTCAGTCTTATACTAACGTCGGCTTCGCTTGAACTTGTTTTACAGCTTGAGCTTCGCCCAGGCTTAGCCGTAACGTAGCTTAACTTAGCTAAGTCGTATTCTGTCTTAGGTTACGCTTAGGCTTTGACGTAGGCTTAGGACTCGTCTTAGCTTACGTTTGCACAGGCTTGGGTTTTGTCTAGGCTCGGCCTCGCTTGAACTTAGATTACGATTCGGCTTCGCTTGAGGATTGGTTTTGACTTGGGCTTCACAGGCTTACAAGCAGCTTGTAGCTTGAATAAGTTAGAGGTTAAGGCTTGGGCCTAGAGCTTGGATGTTGTTCAGGTCACGCCTAGCCTATTCGCTTTGTCTGAAAAATCGCCAAGTCGCCGATTGTCCTGACGAGGCTTAAGCCCAAGCTAAGCCCATCTAAAACAGCCTAAGCTTAAGCCTAAGCTAGGCCAAACTAGACCGTACCTAAATCCCGATTTTGAAAGCACAGTTCAACATCATGGCGCCAATGTCGCGGAGGGGTCGACTAGAGCCTGTTCGAGACAAAATTTGCGCAACTTTCCGTGCTCAGCCCACCAGGGCGATCCATCTATCCACTCGGGCTGGATCGAGGGTCTTTCACATACACAAAAAAGGAACGTCATCCGCTGGGTCCGGAAATTCTGGGTTTGGGCTGGGGAATGACGTGAAATTCGGGCTGCTGCAGGACGGTCAGGTGCTATCCTGACTCACGGGTGGCCAGATTTTCGGTTCGTGGGCCATTTTTGGATCTGGGGGGCACATCATCCAGCAATCGCCCACACATTTTGGAACATCGCCTCTCTCTCACTCATTTTCTCGCGCGCTCCTCTCTCTCTCTCTCTCTCTCTCGTGTGTAGCTTCCAAAAACGTACAGTATCTTGCTGTTTGTATCCTACCGTACTTTTGTAAGGTCTCGTACTGTGGCTTAGCGATTGACTGTATTGTTCCATAAGGTATCGTGATGTGGGGCCACGTACCGTAGCGTAACGTAACGTAGCGTAAGGTACCATGGTTCTAGCTTGCCAGACCGCAGTGTGTATCGTATCGTACACCCCGTATCACCTCGTATCTTTCATTCTCTCTCTCTCTCTCTCTCTCTCTCTCTCTCTCGCTGTCTCTCTTTCTCTGTGTATTTTCCATCAAATATATATGCTCTTTTATTTGGGCTATAAAACCGAAGAAAACGTTCGCGGAGGACATCCAAAAATAGGGGATTGGGGCGGAAAAGGAGTTTGTACCGGAGTAGCGATCCACAATTGCCATGCGCGATCAAACAAATTCAAAAATACGCAAAAAAAAGTATAAAAACAAGGTCAAATACCAATTTTAAAGCGCATTCGTGAGTATCACAAAAAGGGGTGGGCGAAGCGGGAAATCTGATTTTTGTTTGGCTTTGGATTTTTTGGTGGCGGAGGCGATATGGTAAGAATTTCGAGGGCAAAATCGGATGTTTATGGATAAACTCAATTTCTGGTAAAATTTTTACTTTTACGCCTCGATAAATTCGTAACCGTAACCCCAAGAAATTAGACATGGTGAGTAACGTCTGCTATGCCATGACGGAGTTGAGCAGCATCTCGCCCTGTCGACTCCAGTCGCAGCACAGATAGTGTCGCAGCAACAACCGGTATTTTCCGAGAACAGCATGTAGATGCAAATGTTCACGGAGGCGTTGATGATCACCTGAAAATTGGTACGGTAGTTCCAGGTTCTTTTGCATTATCAGGGGGAGTGAGTTTTTTCTATATGTCTAGAAAAGAAAAGTAACCAGTGTTTACTATTGTTTCTGCTACAAATTTATAGTTTCAGGAAGAACGCTCATCCAAGATAGTTACAAAAGCTGACAAAACAATCGATTTTTGAATTTTAAAAATAACCTTTTTGCCAGGCTCTTACGCTTCTTTTAAACAGCTAAACCTTCTTCGCAGATCTATAATCGAAAAAATTTGTGTTAGCCTGGAAAACCCACCAAAAAATTGCTGAGTGAGACGCGGACTTCGAGCCAGTATCTCCAGGTTCTCGTAGATGTGTTGCTGATGAAGCACAGCGTGTTACAGGCGAGGAACAGGATCCCGACCACCACCTGAAAATGTGGATCTGGGTACGTAGAGACACCCAAAAACTAAGGAAAGACAAAACTGGAAAAAATTATCGATCCTTGAACCCTTGAAAACGCCGGAATCGACTCCCCAGCTTGATAGATGTTTGCCGCTCCTTCCGTTCCGCTTTCTTTGACATTTCGTCCCTCTCGCCGCCACCCTGAAATTGACGTTGTGAGAATCGGAAATAAAAGCTTCTAAGCCTACGCATTATAAGCCTAAGCCTAAGCCTAAGCTAAGCCTGACCCTAAACCAAAAGCTAAGCGTAAGCTTCAATACGTACCGACACGTGCATTCTCCGACTTCTCCGCACCGCGTACAGCACCATCGAGTTGAAGCCGATCAGCGGCAAAGAAGGGCACGATGAAGACATGATCAACGTGTGCATCCAACGTGGAAGATCTGGAATTTAACGGTGCCTCTTACTCAGTTCTCTCTCTCTCTCTCTCTCTCTCTTCGCTCTCTTTCTCTCTCTGTCTCTTTCTTTCTCTTTCCCCCTCTCCAAACCCACCAGCTTGTTCCTGTTCCTTGTCGTAGCAACGTCAGGATCAAGTGCGGCATGTAGTGATCGATATTCCCGCGGTAGCACACGTTGAACGTTCACTGCAGAAAATCGACCGAAATTGGGACATTACATTGCTAATCTCGACTGAAGTAGTGAGGTCTCAGTTCTGAGAGTTTCCAAGTCCTTTGAAACGCTGTTTACTCATTTAGAACAATCTGGTAATGTTGAAGAGAATGGAGAAGGCAATGATCCCGATGATCACACCAGGCGACCCGTTCTGAAGAAAAATAGGGTTGGCGTGTGAGGGAGGGAGAAACGACAATTCAGGAAGAGAAGCGAAGAAACAGTGAGAGAGGAGAGAGACGGTGAGTGAAAAAACTCACTTTTGGCAATAATTGTGGCGCTTTATAGGGATGACACACGCCTATATATCGATGCACCGACACGCCAACCGTCAAGTAGACGCTGAATTTGCATAATTTTTTCGCCCACTTTCTCTTGCTCTGCCTGGCCGTTTGCGCTTTCGTCTTGATTCCATACATTATTGGAGATTGTGGCGAGATAGCTGGAATGCCATTTATGCAACAAAAAACCTCGATTTTTGACACCGAAAATTTACAGTTTTGGCAAAAAACATGCATTTTTAGATTAAAAAGGCCGGATAACTTTTAGTCAAAATCTGCTTTAATTTCTTTCAGTGAACCTAAAATTACCTCCAGTACCCGACCTTCCACACATGGTCAAATATTCTGCCAACCGCGCTGCGCACTGCGCGACAAACGACGCGATGAGGATAGTCGTGTCGCTGACCGACAGCGCCGCCAAGTGCCAATTGATCGAAGATGACGACATTAATCTGGAATCGAGTTTTAGCGGCGGCATCATAAGGCTTTTAAGGCGCCAGAAAGAATAGGATTATGCGCTCCGACGACACGCGGCGTGCACGTACTCTCGTCATTTAATGGCGTAATGGGTTCTGATTTTTTACCAGACGTGTCACGAGCCGGCACCATTGGCTATCCATAAGTAAAAAAATATAAGTGGCGCCTTGCCGTTGCTTTAAATTGGGCGAGAAGTGTGAGGTGAGAGAGAGCATGATGGAGAGAGCATAGAGAAGAAAGTATGAGAGCGAGAGACAGCGAGCGAGAGAGAATGGGACGATTGAAATAATAGAGAGACAACAGCTAAGGAGGAATAGAGGAGGGAGAGAAGTCCGTGAGTGAGGAAGGTGGGATAGCACAAAGGACTAGGACGAGGCAGGAGCGAGCAAGAAAGCCCGATTGAGCAGAGGCGAGGAGAGGCAAAAGGAGCCATGGCTTATATAGGAGAAGGAGAAATGAGATAGAGGAGAGGAGGAGGCGAGAGAGGAGAGAGAGAGAGAGAGGAGGGAGGAGGAGAGGGGGAGAGGCGAAAACGAGAGGTGGAGAAAATACGTGAACGAGCAAGATAAACTGCCCATACCTATGTGTAAATAATCGGACGCTCGTCAAATTCGCACCGAATCCCGAAGGCCATGATGGGGAGGGCGTTGGGCCTGAAAATCGGAGATTAAAAAATTGAAATTTAGCATAGTTAACTAAGATCTGCCGTGTTGCGACGCTAATTCGAGCTAACTCGACACCCACCGACGTTATCCGATCATCAGATTAAATAGTATTCATACCCAAATGGCATGCGCAGCTGTTATTTGTTCCGACGCATTCTTTTCCAGATCCGGCTCCGGCTCAACATCCATCAGCCCCTCGTGCTATTAATGCGGCTAGTGGGGGGAGGAGGAGGAGGAGGAGGAGAACGCCCCTTGAAAGTCTGGTTGGGCCTTTTTGGTTTTGGAAAAACATCATTTTAAAGAATTCGATTGGCACGATGCGAGAGAAAGTGAGGGCAAGAGAGAGAGAGAGAGTGAGAGAGATCCGAGAGGCGCGAGACAGAAGAGAGAGATAGAGAGAGAACACGAGGGAAAATAGTAAAGGCTGAAAAGCTAAATTTAAAAATTAGATTAAAATATATATAAATTTAGAAATTATTAGCAAGGAAAGGCAAAACATCAAAATGGAACTTTAGAAGCCCTGGTTTATAATCAGCGAAGAGCCTAAATAGCGAGGATTGCGAGAGAAGTAGATGGTTAAAAGTCTCGATAAGATAAGAAGTCCCGAGAAAACGAAAAAATTGACAGAATCCCTCAAGGTTCGCAATAAAAATAGCCACTTCCGCCCAAAACATCAAAAATTTTAGGAAAGCAGAATTTTCGTAAAAACACCTGTACCCTGATAATTTTAGGTTTCGAAACTCAGGCCACACCAAAAATAGCTCCTGGTCCATGATGGGGTTGCCATGCGAACAGGAAAGAGGGCTCAACATTCCAGCCCCCACCAAAGGAGGGCAATCTCGCAATTCTGGAGGGTGCCAGATAAAAAGTCAATTTTCGAAAAGAAACAAATTACATTACGAGGGGAGAGAGAGAGAGAGAGAGAGAGAGAGAGAGAGAGAGAGTAGTTTGTCAACACGCAACGGTCCGTTGCGGAGCGTTATTGTCTCGCTTGTAAACGAGAAAAACGATAGACCTGGCGAGAGAGTGTTAGAGAGTGTGTGTGAGAGAGGAAAGAGAGATAGAAAGTGAGAGAGACAGACGGAGAAAGTAAGAGACAGTCAGAAATCAATGTACGCTACACGCCCGCAACGCGTTCAACCAGCCGCACTAGTCATTCCCCTCTAAAGGACCATTGAAGGCATCTGTTTTCCGCTTCTCCCTCCGCCCAAAAGTGGCTGATTGGGATCAGGACACCTCGAACAAATGAGTGGCCCCATCCCCCCAATCACGCCTCCTCACCCACTTCATCAGCCAATTTGTCGGAGCCGCCCGGCTGGCCAGGGATCTGACAAAAGAAGAGAACGCCTCGATCAGCCCGTCAGCGGGGGTTATCGTCGCGTAGTCGCAGGGGCCTCGGGTTAGTGGCGGACAGTTGTCTGAGGTCTCATGTCACTGCTTCTCCTGGCATCTACCCTACCATCCCCCACACCCCCAACAAACAACAACTGTTGCCATCTACCGGATTTTCGGCTTTCCGGGCCGGCAAATCGACAAACTGACAATTTTGGAGGCTAGAAATTCTGGCACCCTTCCAGGCGGCATTTTAAAGGGGCTGGGAAGTCAGTGAAATGTTGGAAATGCGGAGTTCAAAGGCACAATCGGTTTTAAAGGGGCTGGAAAGGCAGAAAATTGCTTAGAAACTGTTAAAGTTTTGTTCCGTTAAAGGAAATGGAAAAACACAAAAACTTTT